GGTTCTTTTGACTCCCATAACTATAGTGCCTCTTGGTTTTAGTCTAGGAATAAAATAGCAAATGGAAATGATGGTGTTGCTAAAGGAGGCACTTAATTAACCAAAGAGTGCTGCTAGAAAGTTGAAAGTGGTGCTCACCTCACTAGTCCCCAAGTCCCCATCTTGGCAGAACTTGGTTTGGTAACTGGGTGTTGGCTGGCAGAAACCAGGATTGCCTTTGCTCTGAGTTCTCTCACTGTGCCACAGAGGGGAGCTCACCAGCCCCTCCATGATGTGTTGGTGTCACACACTTTATGGCTGTTGAAGTTACTTGGGGAAAAGGCATGATGTGCAGTTGCTACAAAACTGGAACTGTAGGATTTGGGGATATTTGGATCTTAAGAGAAAATCCTAGACAATAAGGTATTTAGTCTGAGATTTTTTAGAATCTATCATTCCTTTTTGAAATGGAACTTTATTAATATATATTCTCAACATGTTCAAAACCTATAAGTTTAGGGAATTTAGTTTAACTATTTCCTCTTGGAATGCTGTAATTATTTTCTCAAACCTGTGCATGAATTCCCTTTTCTTTGCACCTGTATTCTGCACCTCCATGTAGGTGTTGTCTGTACATTTCTTTCCTCATGCCCTTTTGGTGCTCTGCACCTGCAGTTCATTGCAGGTGAGGAGTTAAGTGATCTGCTCTAGATTTAAAGTGAATGGAGCGGCAGAGCCTTCGTGGGAACCCAGGTCTTCTGGTTTGTGTGCCTGGGCTCTTGCCCAGAGCCTCTCATGGGCTTTCTTAACTGTGAGGTGAAGTGAGCTTTAAAGTCCCTCAAGTCCTTTCTAGCAAGTTGGAGTGGAGTCGTGTGTTGACACCAGCAACCCAGATCTGCAGATGTTTAATCCACCTGTACTGCTGCCCCACGGGAACACACTGTGTGCCAGGCAGTCTGGGCCAGCAGGCAGTGATTTTCCTGCCTAGAGGGCAGCCCAAGGCACAGATGAGAGGGGTGGGGGGGAGTGATCACCTACCTTGGGCGGGAAGGGCACAGGGAAGGCAGCCTTCTGCAACCAGGAGGGGTCGCAGTAGCAGATTGGAGACTGGGGACCACAAAAGCCACTGGGCGCTGTTACCTTGGACAGGGAAGACCCTGTTGAGCAGTAAGTGTGAGGTTTTGTTCTGGAGCAGTGTCCAGCTGCCACTAATTCAGGACAGAGAGCTGTCTCTGTTGCTTGGAGAGCCACGACAGCCTTCCGGGCCTTCAGTGGGGACTGTTTTCAGGCACAACATCTAGAGAATCACATTTTAAGGTCATTAGAAGATGCTAATAACAGATTGACACCGTATTTTAGTTTATAAAAGATCTATCACTAGAGAAAAAGTTTGGAGGAGTAAAAATAAGCATTAAGAAAATGTAGAATGCCAATATCTCGTTTTCCATCTGTAAAGATTTGTTCTGCACTTTGGGCGTGGATGGTGCTCGCCTTATAATTCCAGTGACTGGAGGCCGAAACTAGAGGATCGCAAGTTTGAGGCCAGCTTCAGAAATTTGGTGAGACCCTAAACAACTTAGTGAAACCCTGTCTCAAAGTAAAAAATAAAAAGGGCTGAAGATGTAGCTCAGTGGTAAAGTGTTCCTGGGTTCAATTCCCAGTACCAAAAATGCAAAAACAAACAAACAAACCATTGTATCAGAGGACTCTTTGAAAGGATGTTAAAAACTTGAAAGAAGCTGTACGGAATGTCCTTTTGGTTGTACAACATGTTTCAGTCTTTGCTCTTTAGATATTGCAGGTATGTGTCCTTGTGGAATGCTCTGTTGGTTGCAGTTCTTGAACAAACCACTAGGTGATGCTAAAAGACTTGAACTTGATACCATGGAAGAGAACCAGGGAAGGGGCTTTTATCTCCTTAGATTAAGCAAACCATAAATTGGCATTGATTTGAGGGAAGGGTTGATATAGAAACCAACAGGTTCTGTCTGACATGTATACATGGCTTCCCAAGTCAATGCTGGCAAGCAATCAGCTGCAGTTGGCTCCAGGCTGGGTGTGTTCTGAGGTCCTGTTGGGCTCTAGGGTCACAGCCTCCAGCATTCAGGTAGAGTGGGCCACAGCTCACTTGAGAACCTGAAAGCAGCCTGTTCCCAGGTGGGCTTAGTGCAGCCACTCCTCAACCTGTTGGCACCTCGCCTCCCTTTGGAGGCAGAGTTAGCTTTGTCATTAGTGGGGTTTTCTTGTTTTGAGCTGAAACTCTTGAATTCAGAATACTCTCGATCATTTGTAATCAGGTTTGATGTGGGAGGGAAGTTTCAGACAGATCTGGGTACCTCGTCTGGGTTGGTTCCTTCTGTTTCCCATCAGTGTCTGCTGAAGAAGAGCGAGTGTCTTCAAGGCCTCCCCACCTCCTCTTACACCTTTACCTCTCATGTCATCAGAAAAATAGAAGGTTCATCTCCCTCAGAACACTAGTGTATGCCCCGTCCTCATTCCTTCCTGTGGTCCGGTGCCACTGCCCAGCCAGGCCTCCGCCGAGTGCTCCCACTGACTCTCTCCACTTTGGCATGGGAGCCATTGTTCCTCTTGCATCAGAATGTACACTCCCTGCCCTGAACCCTAGGGGCTTGAGTGTGTGTTTGTGGGAGTATAGATAGGTGACTCCCTAGGCTGTGTGTGTAAAGCACTGCGGGTGGTGATGTTCCTTCTGTCCACCTCTAGGACTGAACTTGCTCTCTCCTTACCACACAAACAGAACACAACTTGCTTGTCCTGTTGTGCCCTCCTGGGGAACATGGGACCACCCCCCCCCCCACCCCCAATGACTGACTGCTGGTGTCTGTCTCTGTTCCTCTACAGCTTCCATGTGCAGCTGTCAGCCCCTGACTGGCCTCCCTAGTGCTTCTACAGTCCGTATACAGCACAAAGCATCATCCCCCAGCCCTGACCAGCTGAGCCTGCTGTAGGACTATAGCTGGGAGTCCAAGTCCCTTTTGTCACTGGACTATGAGCTGTCCTAGAACAGGGCTGCCACTCAGTCTTCTGGGCCAGGTGGGGCTCAGCCAGGGTCCACTTAGTCATCAGCAAAAGGCAGGGTGTTTTTTAATGAAGGCTCCTGTGGTAGGAAGACTGCTCACCTTGAGTCTTATGGTTACATAAAAACTTATGCAGTTGTTATTAGGTGTAGGAATACTATGCCAAAGATTTTGGGGTATGATGCTGCTTTAAGACATTGTGCCATTGCATTAGAGTATCGATGTGTGTCTGGAAACGCACAGGTTTGGGCAAAGCAATTATTGACTCATTGCTGTGCTGTGGCACACACTAGAAATGCTTACCTGCTGTGGTAATTTGATGAAAACAGTGTAAAAATCTACTCTTAAGTACATCTGAAGCCGTAGGAAGAGTGTCTGAAACCTCAAAGTAAAAGGGATTTTTAAGTGGAGCACAGTGCATATTGGAGAGGAAGAAAGAGATTGGCCACTGAATCAGGTAGAGCCAGGTCTTACAGCTTGGTCCAGTAACATGACCTTAGTTTTTTCATCTGTAAAGTGGGGATTATAGTGGTGCCTCGAGGGCAGTGTTGTTATGATGATTATAAATAATGTAGATAAAGCTTCCAGCATGGTGTCCCCCAGATGACAGGTACCATCTGTGCTGGGTGTCACCACATGTGGTCTTGGGGTTCAGTTCTGTAACTGACTGTCACCCTGTAGTAAGAGAGGTGAGAAGAACTTTACAAGCTTAGTCTAGTTGAAAAGATACTCTTGGGTTCTCTTGAACCTGCATGTTTTACTTTTATTATGGGAGAGCTACTTGAAACTTGTTCCCTGTGCTTCCTCAGGTAGAGGAAAAGGGAAGGAGGAAATGAGATGTGTGTGTTGACGTTTGAATTGTGCATGTGCATTTGACTTATGCATAATTCTGGGACCTGCCAGTGCAGCTGTTTTTTGAGCAATTTTTCTTTGTGTGTTGCCTTAAATAAATGCTAATGTCAATTTGTGTGCATTGATTTTTCTTTCCTTTCATGCAATTAAAAGTAAAGGAGGCAGTGCCCTGTGGCCACAGATCATGGAATCCAGGCCATGGGCACACTACCTAGATCTTGTGAGGTCATAGGCAAGTTACTTAAATTTTCTTAGCGTTATTAGTTTCTTTATAGTGAAAAAGGGATAGTGCTGGCACTCTGGGATCACTAAGGGTGAAGTCCATCCAGTCAGCATGTGTGAGTTGAAAAGAGCATGCTGACTTAAAAGGTGTCCATAAATTGCAGCCGTTGCTGTTACAGGAGTTGTAATGGGACATGGGGAGACCTTGTCTTGTTTCAAAGCATTTTTTGTGGCTTATTGTATAAAGATGGCATTCATGACTTTCTTAAGACTGAAAAAGCATGGCATCAGGGGGAATCTGAGGCTCAGAAGCTTGCTTATAAATGGAGTAAGGAATTGCAGTATGCACAGCAGTCATGCAGGTGGGCCCGTGATGAAGAATACAGTGTAGGTGGCAGAGCATGGTTCTTCTGACAGGAGCGCCCTGGCTCTCCAAGCTGCCACCAGGCACCTTGGTGCAGTGTGCATGGCACTAGGTGCTGGGCTTCAGAGGCGGAGATTTGGATTCCACACCTAAATGCTTTGTATCTAGTGTCCAAGGGACCTTGTTATTCATGAGGCATGCCTGGCTGTCATCATTGAAGGAAAAAAAAAAAAAAGCCTGTAGCTTCTAAATCTTCCTCTGATGCTGATGTAGTATATTTAATTTTTTTTCTGTTTCTCATTTAAAAAAAGGTATTTCTTGTGCTTCCTGGTTACATTCCTATGAGTACTGGGGGGAATATTGAGACTAGTTTTAATCATTAAATACTATACTTGATGTATAAGTTCCCACAATTTGAGTTTCCATCAGATATGTGTTCTGTTGAAGGGATTTTCAACACTTCCATGGACTAGAGCATATGAATAGATCTAAATGTTATTCACTAGGTGTCATTAATTTCTTAAATGTGCTTCTCGCTCTTTCAGAGTTACTGGAGAATGTAACCCTGATACATAAACCAGTGTCATTGCAACCCCGTGGGCTGATCAATAAAGGAAACTGGTGCTACATTAATGCTGTATCCTTCTTGGACACTGTCCCCGGGGTGGACTTCCTGCAGTGGTCTCTTCTTAAAGTGCATTTACTTAATGCAGCTTCCATGAAAACCAAATTTTGAATCTGAAAACTTGGTTCATTGCTAGTCTGCCTACCTTGCTTTCAGGGTTATTCCTGACTCTAGCTTCTCCACTGCTGCCAAAAAGAGAATTTGTTGACTTGTGAATGACAGAGTCAGGCAAGTGTTAATCTCATGTAATGGCCCCAAATAGTAGGCAGAGTGACTACTTAGTACAGCAAATTTTGTTCTAACTGACCTGATGGTCTTGGTTGAATCAGGTTTCTGAATGTGAACCTTACTGCATGGTAGGTTACTCTGTAAGATCACAAGACAGTTTTCCTCAGTATTATTTGGTCTGTGCCTTTTTGTGTTGACCTATCTAAGTAGCTCAATATCCTCGGTTTATTTTTATATGCTCTCGTGTTTAATGTGCTTTTAGGAAATTTGCCGGTTCATTTCCTTTACGTTTCCTTACTGCCAATGTTTAGACCCTGCAGGCGTTGGTCGCTTGCCCTCCGATGTATCACCTGATGAAGTTCCTTCCTCTGTACTCAAAAGTGCAAAGGCCTTGTACGTCAACGCCTATGATAGACAGCTTGTAAGTAAGGTGTTGGAAAATACAGTTAAGGGGTGGGGTGTTCCCCCCTTCCATTGTTAGAATTTGAATAGTCGAGCAGAGTTCTTGATTTCCTACAAATGAGTCCTGTAATTCTGGTTTTTTTAATCTGCTTATGAATGGAACATTATGTTTTCTTAAGATTTAGTAGAAAACATTTTTGTTTTACCAGTTTAAAATATCACTTAAAATTTATAAAACATGTATATAGAAAAGATGAAGAAGAGATTTGTTATCATCATTAACATTGATTACCTAAGGCCTGCTATATTTATCCTAATTAACGTTGTACTAATATTTATCCTAATACTCCTTAGCCATCAAGGCTCTTTAGTATGTCTTTATATATATATATATATATATATATATATATTTAGTTGTTAATGGATATTTTATTTTATTTATTTACTTTATGTGGTGCTGAGAATCGAACCCAGTGCCTCACACATGCTAGGCAAGTGCTCTACCACTGAGCCTCAACCTCGGACCATAAGTATGTCTTTTGCAAAAAAATGTATCGCTTCACTTTCTCCTTTCTCCATATTTAGTGTTCGGCTGATGAATGAATTCACTAACATGCCAGTACCTCCAAAGCCCCGGCAAGGTGAGTAGAGGCCAGGACTTCTGAGATGCTGCCTGTTGGGGGCGTTTGGTAAATTCAGTCTTGCTGAGAAGAAGATGTCTTTGTAAATGCAGGTGGCCACACCTGTGCTGTTCTTAACCTCTGGCCAGTGGGGAGGTGGGGAGTTATGATGGTTTGGATTTGTGATGTCCTTTTGGTTTTGAAACTTGGTGTCCTGTTTCCATTGCAGCTCTTGGGGATAAAGTCGTGAGGGACATTCGCCCTGGAGCTGCCTTTGAGCCCACGTACATTTATAGACTCCTGACGGTGATCAAGTCGAGCCTGTCTGAAAAGGTCTGGGGCCTGTAGATCTGATGCCCAGTGCTGCCTTTGCTGCCCTTGCTGCCCTTGTCTCAGCTGCCCTTGCACCCCAGTGCTGTCATGTGGTGGTATCAGGGCTAGGTCTGCATTGTGGTGGAGTCATCTGTGTGTTACATTGAGAGAGTGACCACCACCCATGTCAGGAGGCTTTCACTGTGTACCGAGTGCTGTTCCCAGTACTGACTGCATTGGCTTTCTGTGAGTTAAGCAGTGTTATCATCTCCTTGTTAGCAGCTGACAGAGCTAAAGCCACTGTCCATGGTCAAACAGCTGTGCATGGCTGAGCTGGGCTCTCAAGACAGCTGGCTTAGCCACTGCACTGACTGCCTTCTGGGTAGAGTAGAGTGTATTGGGCCTGGATGGTGGCAGTGTGCAGGAGAGCGTCTGTCTTCAACATACTCAGGCTTCAGCAGCTGTCGAGGTCCCTGACTCTTTTACCTTTAAAAAAAAAAAAGGATTTTTTTGTTTGGTTTTGCAGTGCTAGGAATTTAACCAAGGGCCTCATTTATGCCGGGTGCTCCACCACTGAGCTATAAACCTAAAATTTTTTTATCGTGTGTCTTACAAAGAGGCCTTATCAATGGCGCTGACAGCTATTGAGAGTGAATCAGGGGTACCCTTAGCACAGTTAACTGGAACACTTCTTCCCTGACCAAGTTTGTGGTGGTGAATCAGTATGTGTGTGGTTGAGATGATGCTTGGGAAAACTTGTGCACAGATGAGAAATTGCTGTCCAAACTGAATCAAGTCCAATTAAAGCTGCATTGCTTTGGAGAAGGGTGAGTGTCCAGGGCAGGGTAGTGGAAACCACCGGAGGCAGCACAGAATTTTAAGCTTTTAAAATACCCCCAATACAGGACTGGGGTTGTGGCTCAGAGGTAGAGCACTCGCCTGGCATGCTTGAGGCACTGGGTTCTATCCTCAGCACTACATAAAAAATAAAATAAAGATATTTTTTTAAAAAACACCCGCAATACAGCTTTTGGTATTGGCTTGCATTTCTGTTTCCCCGTGATGAAAATGTACATAATGTTTGTTGGGGATGCAGAAATGCAATAAAGCATACCCACTGCCCTAAAAGAGCTCACCGTCCAGGGTGGGAGTCAGATTCCTAACAAACTAAACAGGTAAATACAGAGAGGAGATGGCATACAGCTGCTGTGGAAGCAGGGGAGGGGTAGCTTAGGTGGAGGCAGAGGTAGAGGGGGTTACTCAGGGAGGGTTTCCTGAGCTGAATCCCTTTAGGATTGTGCTTAGAAGTAATGGTAATGAACAAAAACATCATTTTGAAGTTTCATTAATACTGAATATGTCAAGGTCCCCAAGGCCACCCTTGCTCAGGTTTGCTGACTTGCCGGCAGGACTCAGTCTCAGAAGCTGGTATGCTTGTGTTTATGCTTTATTTGCCATCCAAGGCTTCTGAGCAAGGTCAGGAAAGGAAAAGGACACGGTCTGGAGGGATTCCCCAGCTTCTTGCCCAGAACCTTTACACAGCATGTTTTTAATTCCTCTGCCATCAAACTGTAATGACACATGGGACTGTAGTCTCCCAGGGACGCATGCTGGGGTCAGAAGGAAAACAGCTGCTCAGCATAAACCATGTTACTTGCACAGAAGCTAGGCCCTTTCCTTCTCGGGACTTGGGATAGTGGGAATCTTTCTGAAACTGAAGTTCCCAGACATCATCCAGGGGCCAGCCTGGCAAACAGGCCTCTCCAGGGAGCACAGCCAGCCGTTTGTGCTACTGACCCGTTGGCGGTGCCCATTTTGCCCTTTGTTGAACACAGCAGAGTGTGCTGGCACAGTAGTGCTGCCTGGGTCTTGTGGTCTGTTTGGAGAGAGTGAGCAAACCCAAGTACAGTCTTCCCAGAGACTTGATGCAGAAGAGCTTGCAGATCCATGGGCTAGGCAGTGGGAACCAATCCTGATAAATCACAGAACACACAAAGCCGGCATTGGATTGTAAAACTAAGGTGTGACCACATTGTATGCCTCACCCATAAGTGTCTTGCTGATGTGTGTATCTGCATACAATAGCCAACTCTCTCTCTGAGTCAGTACCAGTTTTTGCGTATGATTGGAGTCCTTTCTCAGAGTTAGTTGCTCATCAGAAAGAAACAGATGCGTAGGCTGTCTGGAGTAAGTGATAGACACCTTATATATATATGGCCCTAGTAATACGATGTGCTCAGCCAGTGATATGGCCCTAGACACCTTATTTTTGGTCTTACATTTCATTTAAGCAAAAATGCAACTTTAAAATAACCTCTTTTTACTATAAGATGATAAGATGATCTACTGTAAAAAAAATAGAGAAAAACATAAATAAGAATATAAAAATTCCTGTTAGTTCTAGAGATAAGTATTTAATCTGTTTTCCTTCCATCCTGCCCCATGGGATCTCAGCTACCCAAAGAAAAACTCATGTCAATTTTTGAAACTCCTTTTATATTTAATCTTGAAGTTGTCAGCAGAGGCATAGTTTGAATATGCAGGTCTTTGGACACTGTAGGCCTGAACAGCAGCCACCTGAGGGTGATGTGCTCCTGCTTCCCTTCCAGGGTCGACAGGAAGATGCCGAGGAATACTTGGGCTTCATTCTGAATGGACTCCATGAGGAAATGCTGAGCCTCAAGAAGCTTCTCTCACCAAATGATGAAAGTAGGTCATGGTCTTTCTCCTACTAAATGTGTGAGGATATTTTCCTAAGAATGTTTTAAAATGTTTTTTAGTTGTTAATAGACCTTTATTTAGTTCATTTATTTATATGCTGTGCTGACAGTCGAACCCAGTGTCTCATGAGGCAAGTGCCTCACTACTGAGTCACAAGCCCAACCCTGATTTGTTGTTTTTTTTTTTAACTGTGCTGAGAATTGAACCAGGGCCCCATGCATGCTGGCAAACACTCTACCTCTGAGCTACCTGCCCAGCCCCAGGATGCATTTTTAAACAAATTATGCATACTCCAGGGTTAAGCTGCCTCGTCCCTCCTACCAGCCATGGACCTGCCAAAAATCACTTTTTTTTCTTATTAAGATAGCTAGTTAAGCTTGGTGTGGTGGTACACGCCTGTAATCCCAGCGACTCAGGAGGCTGAGGCAGGAGGATCACGAGTTCAAAGCCAGCCTCAGCAATAGCAAGGCACTAAGCAATTCAGTGAGACCCTGTCTCTAAATAAAATACAAAATAGGGCTGGAGATGTGGCTCAGTGGTCAAGTGCCCCTTAGTTCAATCCCTGGTACCCATTCCCCCAAAAGATAACTAGTTATTTTATGTTGTCTTTTATATACAATTGATAATTATATTTAGATAAATTAAAATTTAGCTCAAACCTCTGCTATTGTTCTATACTTTTTTTTTGTTTTTAAGATTTTTTTTTTAAGATAGACATAATATCTTTTTGTTTTTATATGGTGCTGAGGATCAACCCAGTGCCCACATGTGCAAGGCAAGCACTCTGTTGCTGAGCTATAACCCCAGCCCCCGTCCTAGACTTTTTTTTTTTAAATGTATTTTTAGTTTTAGATGGACACAATACCTCAATTTTGTTTATTTAGGTTTTTTAATGTGGTGCTGAGGATTAAACCTAGTGCCTCACACGTGCTAGGCAAGGGCTTTACCACTGAGGCACAATCCCAGCCCCTGTCCTATACTTTTAATTAGGAAAATGATCAAGCATGCAGAAAATCAGAAAGAGTACCTTGATAAGTAGCTGCACGACTGCTGGAGTCTGCAGTCATTAATATATCATTGTTTACCTTTCTCGGCATGAGCATGCGTGTGCTTGCACACACTGTTTACGTTTTTCCTGAATGATTTAAAGTCAAGGGGCAAATAATAGTTTAATTTGCTCCTCAGTGCTGAAGCACTCAATCCCAGGATAAGAGTCTTTCCTACATATCCACAGCCCCTACTCTCATGAAAAAACCAACAGCGATTACAAATTCTATCTGCTTTCCAGCATGCCTGCAGATTTCTCCAGTTGTCCCAAGAACCTCTTTCACAGTAGTTAATGCAGTCCACAACATGGTAAATCCATGAAGCTGCACGTGTTGCGTTTGGCTGTTGTGACTCTTGAGGTAGATACACCCTGATTTTATTTTTAAAACTACAATTGGCAGGTCTGTTCAGGTGCTTCACATAGAACCTTTCTTTATTTCTGGTGCTATAACCCGTAGCCTAAGCAAACCCTCTCCTTTCCAGAACTCACAGTCTCCAATGGGCCCAGAAGCCACTTGGCAGATGAGGAGGAGCAGGAGGAGCGAGGTGGAGGAAGCGAGGATGAATGGGAGCAAGTGGGCCCCAGGAACAAGTCTTCTGTCACCCGCCAGGCGGATTTTGTTCAGACTCCAATCACTGGCATTTTTGGTGGACACATCAGGTTTATGATTTTCTGGAAAAATTTAGTGTTTGTCTATTTCAGGGTTTCATCGTTTTTGCTATCAGGGAGGTGTGAGAACTGTCCTGGCGCGTTTTGCAATCCGTGGTTTGCTTTTATACTTCCTGCCTGCTCTTTGCTTGTCCTTCTGAGTGCCTCCCTGTCAGCCTCCAGTGCTGTCCTCCTGCTTACTGGGCCCTTCTGTAGGGCACTGTCCCCAGAGGGCTGGCCTGTCTGTCAATCAGGTGTAGCTGCTCACTACCACATAGTAAGAGAAGAGCAAACTGACTGAGCTATTTGTTTCATTAAGAGAAATTCATGTACCTTATTGGAGGTGCTTTACCTACTTATTTATTTATTATTTGATGTAAAAATATATTTGTTATAAAATATGGATAGTAAAATGATTACCATAGACATGTAAGTTAACATATCCCTTGTCTCACATAGTTCATCCTTTGTTGTCGTGGCAAGAACAACTGCAGTCCACTCATGTAGCAAAGCTCCTGGACACAGTCACCCCATTCACTTCAGCCCTTAAAGACCTGTCAGGTCTTTGTCTTGCTCACCCTGCAGATCTACTGGTTTGTACTTCCTGGCTGCATCTCCCATCTCCTTTTCTGCCCCTGCCCCTGGTAATCTCTGTCTCTGTGTATTTGACCTTTTTAAAAAAATAGATTCCAGAGATAGTATGAGCATACAGTATTTTCCTTTCTGTGTTCAGCTTATTTTACTTGGCATAATGTTCTCCAGGTCCATCCATGTTTTGGCAGGTAGCAGGAGCTCCCCACCCCCCTCCCCTCTTTTTAAAAAATATTTTTAGTTGTGGATGAACACAACACTTTATTTATTTATATGGTGCTGGGGATCTAACCTAGTGCCTCACATGTGCCAGGCAAGAGCTCTACCACTGAGCTCCAGTCCCAGACAGGATCCCCTTTCTTAAGGCCGAGTAATATTCTGTTGTGTGTGCACACCACGGTTTTTTAACCATTCATCCTTGGACGGACATGTAGGTTGATTCTTTATCTTGGCGCTGGTTGTGAATGGGTTGGAGGAGTTTAGACATCAGACCATGTGAGCTAGGAAGTGAAGGAGTGGAGGGAGATACTGTCACACAGAGGAGGATCCATGACCCTAGCTCAGTGCCATTTCCCTTAACCAGCTTGCTGTTCATTCTTGACGTCCTTCTGAAAGGTTTTCGTTTACTTGCATTAGAGCCTTTCACCGCCACATTGTGTGGGCCTGACATGTCTGTGTCCAGGCAGATTCCCTCATCAGCAGTGCTCTAAGGGCCTGTTGTCAGTAAGGGTCTTCCGGAAGGCCTTGCAGGGTATACTTAGTGAGACTTTGGCTGTGTTGTCCCCATGATGAGTATCAGAAAAAGCAGCAGCTTTTCAAGGTGTCAGGAGTTGGTCTAGTCATTTACTCTGGGTTTAGCAGCTTTCAACAGGTTAATAAAGAACCTCAAAACATCTGCAGCGATGCCCTCAGAAGCTGGTCTCTGTCCTGTCTGGAACTGGGCTTTGAGCCAGTCACGTGGCCATGTCCAGCACTGAAGCGAAGCTGCAGGCCCTTCTCTTTGGGTGTTCTGGAGTCTGTGGAGCTGTGTGGTCATGTGTGTTCTGGGGAACGCTGCACACTGACTGTTGCTGCCACGATTCATCTTGGCAGACACGTCCTGGAATGTCCTGTGTTGACAGGTTGAGGGGACAGAGATCCAGCATGGCAATCTTCAGGGAGGGTGACTGCCTTCTGTTCCACCAGCCAGCAGCATGGTGTTAGCACTTTGGGGATGCTCTCTCAAGGACACAGACAAGGGGACAGCTCAAGGGGGGGCAACAAGAGCCCCCATCCCTCCGCTTTTTGGTGCAGAGGTGGAGTATCAAAATTGCAAGGCCATAGAAGGCCACCATACCCAGAGATCCCAAATGTGTCTAAGGATAATAACTGGACATGCCAGAACCCACCGTGATGCAGCTGCTGGCGTGGCTGAATGGTGGCCTGGCTGCCAGCCCCAGCTTAGGTGCGTGTGGTCTTTGTTTCTTTTTAGAAAAATGATAAAGCAAAGATAAAGAATCCTATAATTTAGGAAGTCTTAAGCCACCATTCAGCATGATTCTCTCTTCAGACCAGTTGAGAGAGAGATTCTCCTCTAAAATTCAGCCTTGTTCCCGGTGCTTTCAGCTTCCCCAGGAAGATCAGCCCTTTTCCAAGCCCCACCCCCACCCTTTTTTGGTGGGGGGGGACACAAAATACAGGCTCTTTGTGTCAAGAAGGCAGCCACCTCTTGACTGCTTTACCAGCTCTCCTCACTGGTGTCTCCACTGTTCTTTTCTTGAGCCCAGAGAGCTGCTGTCCCTCAGCTCTGGAAGAGTGTGGCAGTGTGTGATAAACCCTGGATGGAGCAGCCTTCAGCTTGCTCTCCGTGGGTCTTCCTGGGCAGTCTAGGGAGACTGCCAACTCAGTTCATCCCTTCATGAACCAGTCACTCTGACTGCAGAAGAGACTCCCTTATGGTGACTCCTGGGCTGTTTCATTGCTGAGCCTAAATGGGAGATGGGCTGAATGTCCGATTTCTTCTCAGAAAAACTTAGAAAAACCACCAAAGAAAAACCAGATGGAATTGGAGCCTTTCTTGGAAGGGAGGAAGTCTGTCTTCTTGGAATGCAACTTGGTTTTATCTTCCACACCCTGCTCCCCTTCTGTGTGTCATCTTTCAGGGGAAATATGCTATTAAAATATTGCTCACCTTGGAATTTCCTCTATTAGAGCAGCTCTGAGAAAATGAAAAGTGTCTGCAGTTTGAGGCCAGGCAAGATGGTTGGTCACGCTTACTGAGCGGCACTTGGAGTAGCAGTGTGGCATGGAGGTGGAGAGTTGGAAGAGGAGATGGGTGTCCTTCCTGAGTGCTGGAGCAAGGCTAGGCTTGGGTACTGACACCTAGCATGGGGTGTTGAGTCATTTATAAATTCAGTGTACCTTTAGCTTTTCTGTGCTCTCTAATCTCCTAAAAGTGATAACTGAGTAATCTGATTTTCAGTGCTTATTCTCCTTTCCTGGTGGTCAATCTTAAGGGAAAGTGGCAAGGAGTGGGCTCTTACTTTTTTTTTTTTTTTTGCTTTCAATTATTAGGTCTGTGGTCTACCAGCAGAGTTCAAAAGAATCTGCCACTCTGCAGCCATTCTTCACATTGCAGTTGGATATCCAGTCTGACAAGATACGCACAGTTCAGGATGCACTGGAAAGCTTGGTGGCCAGAGAGTCTGTCCAAGGTTATACTACAAAAACCAAACAAGAGGTATGTTCGTAGTTGAAGAAGAATGCAGAATTAGGAATGAGGGGAAGTGGATTTGAATTCTGCCTCTCAGATCAGTTGCTTAAATTTTTTGTATTGAAAATTTGCACTTTTTAAGAATGGAGCGGTTGTGGTGGCACATGCCTGTTGCAGGTTCAAAGCCAGCCACAGCAACCTAGGGAGACACTGTCTCACAATAAAAAGGGTTAGGGGCCCGGGGTTGTGGCTCCGCGGTGGAGCGCTTGTCTTGCACGTGTGGGGCCCTCGGTTCAATCCTCATACCACATAAAAATAAATGAAGGTATTCTGTCCAACTGCAACTAAAAAATAAATACTTTTAAAAAGGCAGCAGGGTGGGGGAGGGCTAGGGACATAGCTCAGTGGTTAAGTGCTCCTGGTTTTAATCTGCAGTATCAAAAGTAAATAAAAATGCCTGTAACCCCAGCAGCTTGCTAGCCTAAAGCAGGAGGATCGTGAGTTCAAGGCCAGCCAGTCTCAGCACCTTAGCTAAGCCCTAGGCAACTCAGCAAGACCCGGTCTCTAGATAATATTTTTATATTATTAAAAAAAATACATTATAAAAAAGGGCTGGGGATGTGGCCCCTGGATTCAATCCCTGGTACAAAAAAAAGAAGAAGAAGAAGAAGGATGGAGTGGTGAAACGGATGATCCTAGCCACCTCTTGGCTCTAAATTGTGTGGCACAAGCTGATAATCTCCTTTGGGTCTTAGGTCTAGCGCTGTGTTGCATGTCTGGCCGTCTGAGCAGGTGTCACAGGGTCAGTGCTGCCTCCCGCAGGGCTGCCTTATGTTCATGGTGCACAGCACAGTTTTTACCTTTTTCATCTTGGTGAGTTAGGAGTAGCCGCTTACTGCTCAGTGCTTTCTGTCAGCTGTCGAGCAAGGCAGAGCTTCCTGGTTCTTCTCTCTCTTTCCCTGTTTTCTGCTCCACAGTAGAGAAGGCCTTCCCCGTTTCTTAAAGAGTGTGGCAGTGAGTTCATAGTCGTGTGTCGAGGTGAACGCTGGCTTTGTTGAAGGGTTGGAGTAAGGCACCGGATGTTCCTGTGAAACCGTGTGTGGGTAGGCAGTGTGTGGTAGCTGTAAGGTCGACCCCTGTCTCCTCATTGTCCTTTTCCTGCACCTGTGTGCTGAGTAAAAAAGAGCAAAGGAGACCTTGGAGACCTTTACTCCTCCTTTGGATTGGCTAAACCACATTGTCAAGGGATCTGCAGAAGTTAGGCCCCATTCTCAGGTTTTCTGATTTGCTTCTGATCTGCAATTTCGTTTTAAAAATAAAAGAACTAGGCACCAGACAGATACCTGGGTAAGCTGAGAGTCTGGTGGAGGAGCCCATGGAAGAGAGAGCGGGCTGGGTATTTGTGTCTGGCTGTGGGTGGCTTCATCAGCTTGGCCCAGTCCATGGCAGCTGTGACTCTAGAGGTGGACCATGTATCTGGCTGCTCTTGCCACTTTCCTCAGTCTCTTCTGTGAGCCAGTGATGGCTGTGTTGGGCCACTGGTCCTTCTGGGAGTTCTTGAGCCTCTGCCTGGGTAGCCCAGGAAAGATCTTTGCGTAATGTGCCTTCTGTACTCTTATTGTGCTGCAGTTGAACACTGATCAGGACCAGGGCTGTGCAGGCTTGGGGACAAGCAGTGGTCAGCCTGTTGCTTGTGGGGAGGGGGCGGGGGTACTTTGGGAGAGCAGTCATTGGGAGGAGCCTCAGGATGAAGAGGAGTGCTGCACCCTGTTGTGGTTCTGTGGTGTTGCCCACACAGTCAGGAGCTTCCAGAAGAGCAGGCGTGTGAGCAGGGGAGGCTTTTTGGATGACTTGTATGGAAATATGTATACAAAGCAAAGAATGCATTTTTTTGAATGTGACTGTTTTAAAATTTCCTTTTAAAAATACCAGATTTAGGGCTGGGGCTGGGGCTCAGTGATAGAGTGCTTGTCTAGCATGTGAGGCACTAGGTTCGATCCTCAGCACCACATATACATAAATAAAATAAAGGTCCATTGACAACTAACAAATGTTTATATATATATCAGATTTGGTGTTGAGGGTGTAGCTCTGTGCTGGAGCCCCTGCCTAGCGTGCAGCCGGCATACCGAGGACCTGGGCTTGAACCCAGCACAAACACACATCCTGCAGATAAAAGCCCAATTTTAATTTTATTGGATTTTAGGTGAAAGGTGGTTTTTTCCTTCCTCTGTTAGAGTATAGGAAGTGTAGATCCATTGAAAAACAATAGCTATATAGAAAATGCCTGGCTATGTGGTTAATTGGAAATTGTGCCTTAGTTTGTCTGGAAACCCAAAATGCATATTAAGAATTTCAGGTGTTCAGTGAGTCACTGAGAGCTTCCAAATGACACTAAGCACTGAAGGGCACCCTAAGAGGTCATCTGGGCCTTCCATCCACAGGTGGGGACCTGGAACCTCACAGAACTGATCTCCAGGGTGAACTGTCAGCAGTGCCCCACCTTTGTTGGCTCATAGGTAATTGCTGGGCCCAGAGATGCTCACTGTCAGGCACAGTGCGATGTGGGGAAGTGTGAGGTAGTTTCTCCACCTGGAATCTTACCAGGGGGAACATACGCAGGAGGAGCCTGGGAGGTCACTCAGTCCAACCAGCGATGGCTCTTGAGCTTGCTTTCAGAGGACACCTCCACATCTGACATGTGTACAGTCCTCTGACAGGTTTGTTTTTCTTACTATGTTGTTACCTCTTGGATGCTTTTTTTTTTAAAAAAAAAATTTGTCAGAGTATTCTCGAAGAAAATAATAGGAAATATTAAAGAGTTTGTAAGTACAGTGAATGGTAAAGTGAAAACACAACTGGTTAAAGAAAATTTAGCTTTATGCTGGGCTCTGTGGCTCATTGCTTATGATCCCAGCAGTTTGGGAGGTCAAGGCAGGAGGACTGCAAGCCCAAAGTGGCCACCTCATGAGACCTTGTCCCAGAATTAAAACAGGCTGGGGGTTTAGCTTTGTGGTAAAGCATCCTTGGGTTCGATCCCCAGCACCAAAAACCCAAAATAAAAATCTAGCTTATTTAAAAGGAGCATTCTTTGGATCTATAAAAATATGTCAGGGGCATATTAATTGATAAAACCAAAATATTATGAAATTGATGGTTAGGATAAATGGCTTTAGGGTTTTTGAAAACATTGAACTGAAAGAACTGACATCAGTGTTGTTGAGACCACATGCATTGAGTGGACTGGGAAGGAGCCGGAAGAGAAGATAAACGCTTCCAGGGCATACCCTCAGGGACCTGCTGCGGCCTGTATCTAGGCCCTGCCTCCTAGTGTCCACCCCCTCCCAGAAATATCATCAAGAGTGTTAGTCCACGGACAGGTCAGAGCCTCATGATCCAGGCACTTCCCAGAAGCCCATGTGTGGACACTGCTGCACTGGGGACCAAGCCCCTGACCTGTGAGCCTTTAGGGGACATTCCAAATCCAGATCATGACACTGAGAATTATGAAAAACCAGGTCAACACATCTGAATCCAGGCTGCCTGCCACAGTGCAGAACTTCCCTTGGCAGTCGCAGATGGGCTGCAGGGCTGGGGCAGGAAGGGTCGCGGAGCCCTGCTATTGGGTGCTGGTGAAGACATGTGCTGCCCCCAGTCGGACAGGACGGGTGTCCTGGTGTGTTCTGTGTCCCAGGTTGAGATAAGTCGGAGAGTGACTCTGGAAAAGCTCCCTCCTGTCCTTGTCTTGCATCTGAAACGATTTGTTTATGAGAAGACTGGCGGGTGTCAGAAGTTGATCAAAAACATCGACTATCCTGTGGACCTGGAGATCAGCAAAGGTAATGCTGAGGTGCTCCCAGAGCGGCCAGCACCACATTTTGTGATAGGGGGTTATGTCAAGATGAAGGGCACTTTCTTGGCTTTTTAAATTTCAAATTTCTTGACATACACATATGTCATATTACATATGTTTTGCGTGTTGTGTATGGTGCTGGGAATAGAACTCAGGCCCTCCAGACATTCTAGGCAAGTGCTCTGCAACGGAGCTACATCCTCAGCCCCTCTTGATTTTAATATTAAAATTGTCACAAAAATGGCTTTTTAAAAGGGCTGGGGTTATGGCTCAGTGGTAGAAAGCTTGCCTTGCATGTGTGAGGCCTTGGGTTCAATTTTCAGCACCACATAAAGAAAAATAAATAAAGGTATTGTGTCCATCTACAACTAAGATATATATATTTTTTAAAAATGGCTTTTTAAAAATAGAGGCCAAGGACTGGGGATATAACTCATTAGTAGAGCGTTTGCCTAGCATGTGTGAGACCCTGGGTTCAGGCCCCAGTGTGCCGCTACAGAATAAAAGTAAAAACAGGCAGAAATGAGTAAGCCATATGGTTTACTAGATGAGAAAAACGGAGCCTTTGTCCATCAAAGTAAGTACTCACAGCTGTGTTGAGCAGCGAGGTTGGATGGCAGTGGGACTCCCTCTGGTTGCAGTGATGCGTGTGTTAGCTTTGTGAACTCCTTGACCATGAGTCCCCCAGGTAACAGGGCTCAGCACATTCAGAAAGCCACTTAGAAGAGCCCTGGATTAAAGCCTCGGCAGGACAGCTGAGTGCACCCCTTGAGGGAAAGCTTTTGTCGATGCTTCAGAATTTGTGAAAATGTCTTGTACAACATTGAAAGTTAGAATGGTACCCTGAGGAGTCGGCATGTCCCAAAGTCTGGGAAGCAGAGGCGGGTGCCTTAGCAGCATTGGCTGAGGAAGCTCATGCTCTTTCCCACCTGCATGACACACCTGGAGTCTCCTCACAGCCAGGTGCCACGTGTAGTCGCGCCCTTGGTGCCCAAGGACAACATGGCACCTTCTGTTAGAGACTCTGGCTCAGAGTGGGGCTGCAGCCAGTCCCCTGTCCCTCCACCCTCTGCTTCACAGCTGCCTCCACCCTCTCCAGCAGTGTGGCTTCTGATCTGGAGACCAGAGGGAGGAGAGATGCCAGTAAGGCATGATGGGTCCCCTTCCAATCTGCCTTGTCTAGGAACCTGGGAGGCAGCCCCGGCACAGGAGGCGCCTTGACCTTCACCTGCCCGGGAGCTGCCTGTGCTAGCAGGTGGCCTGCCTTCTGTTTCTTTCCTTTTTCTTCCTCTGGGTCTCTTTTGCTCTTCTTCCTTTCTCTTTCTTTCTGTGTTTCTGCTTCTGTCTTCCTCTCTCTGTTGCTCTTCCTTGGAGGTCTCATTGTGTTGCCAAGGACAGCCTCGAATTCCCGAGCTCTGCCTTAGCCTCCTAAGCTGCTGGACTCCAGGCGTGTACCACTGTGCCCTGGGGGCATTCCTGACTAAGCTGATTGCACCTCTCTCCTTGCTTATTACATGTGGTTTTGTATCTGCTCCCACCTCAAATCCTTTGTAGAAAGAGAAATGACATCACTGGGGGCCAGAGGATCTTGCTGGGGTGGGGGTGGGGTGGGGTAGGAGAGGAGGCACAGTGGCTGCCGAGAGTGCCTCCTGGAATGGGCTCCTCCTGGCCCTGAGTGCTCCTGCCTGGGAGTTGAACCTGAAGAAAGGCACAGGCTCAGGGAAGCATAGTGGCCTCACATGGTTAGAGTTTGATGTGACTCACTTATGAAATGTTCTGATTCTTGGGTTTCCCAGGACTGTTTTGGTGAGCTTGCTTTTGAGTGGACAGCATTTTTCTTGTGCAGTTTTTTAGAGCATCTGTTTGCAAGAGGCGTCCAACCTGAGCCTTGTGGTTCTAGGCTTGCTCGGGCAGCTCGTAGGTGGGCTGGGCCTGTACTCCTCCCTGCCCTGCACGCTGGTTCCCCTCCTGGTCCACTAAGGGCAGAGCTCTGCTCTCCGCCCTGCTGCTGGCTTGTTGGGTAGAGACTGTCCTAGCCCTTGGCTTTTGTTACTCTGAACCTCTAAGTGCTTTTGTGGATTGGAGCTGTTGATGTTTTGTTTTTCAGAACTGCTTTCTCCAGGAGTTAAAAATAAGAATTTTAAATGCCACAGAACCTATAGGCTCTTTGCAGGTAAGTGCTGTTTTGCTGTCCCTTGCTTGTTGGAGCAGTGGTGGAACCTTTATCCCCAGGCCCCCTTCCGTGTGCCATCACTCTTGCAGAGTGTGCTCTACTCTGTGGGCAGGGAGCCCTAGGGAGATGGTCCTGAAGCGAATGCCTCTGTCTTCAAGGCAGAGTGAACTTCAGCTGCCAGCGAGGTGGGGTGACCGGCAGTGGAGCCTCTGTATCGGCTGGTCACTCTCCTGGGTTAAGAGATGTGTCCCACCCTGGCGTCCCTGGACCCTCCTGTATATGGTACTGTATATGGTACCTCCCCGGCTCCTGGGCCTCCAGCCTCCCCACAGTGAGGTCCGAGAGGGTGAATGGCACACCCCATCCCTGGAGGGGCTCAGCAGGGTTTCCCATCTGTCTGCCTCAGTCACTCCTGAGGTTTTAAGGGTTTGATGAGCCATATCCAGGGCCAAGGATCTGGCCACACTGGAAGGTACCCGCTCTCTCTGTCTCCCTTGTCTCCCCTGTCTCCCGTGCTTTGTTGTTGTGTTGGGTTTTGTTTGTTTGGTTTTGCTTTCCCCTCCTCCTCAAAACATCTGATCACAGCCCCTCCCTGACCTGTTGGGCCCTAGTGAAAGTGGCAGTAGGTGCCTTCTCTCATGGGTGTGTGCAGTCTCCTTCCCTTGCCTGCGAGTGGAAGTTCTGAGGTCTGGTGGGCACTCTGCGGCTCTGCAGCCAACCAGCCTGGCTCTATGGCCAGCCTGGCTCCTTGGAGCCTGCACTGAGGTCCTAGTGGACCTTCTTTGCCTTTTCTCTGCATCTACCCGCTTGAGACCCTTGCAAGGGAAGGTTGGTAGTCAGGGGCAGGGTGGAGAATTCTTTGTGTCTGGGTCAGGTGCCTCAATGTGAATATGTATGCATTCTCAAGAAGTGAACTCTCAAAAAGTAAAAGCTTTTCAAAAAAAAAAAACAAACCTGGGTCTCTGTTCTGCCTCTGACAGTGGGCTCTCCTGGGCTAAGTGATATGTTACACATTAGTTACCTGGACTGCTACCTTAAGAAGCTGGGATGTATGGAGTACAATTCTCTTGAACTTTTATTTAGAGTGGAGGTGTCTTATGGGAAGTATGGATTAATTAAACCCTCAGGTTCTTCAAATTCTACTGACTTGGTTGGTTACTTTGAAAACAAAACTATTGGTCTTCAAGGTCAAAATTCAGGACAAAAATTCCAAAGAGAATTTGGGGCCTAAGAGACATGCTTGTGTCCTGTGACTTGTGCACAAGAATAAGCTGGGACCTTCATTGGCTGTTTACCTGTTTCTGACTGCAGAGCCAAAGAGTCTGGCCAGTGACAGAATCCACCCCTTTAGTAGCTCTGTCCTCCAACTCTAAGCATTGTCCTCCCAGCAACCGTTCCTAGCCCAGAGTGGACCTGGGCCTTCTACATTCATTCAGCACCCAGACGTGACAGCTGCCGCTGGAGCCCGAGATGTTTGGGTTGTTCAGTGCTGACATTTCCTGCCAATGACACTGTGCCTGCCCGTGGCTATGCCTTTGGACCACTGTTGGGGGAACACAGCTTAGCAGTCCACACTGCTCTTCCTGTCCAGAATTTGGCAGGACATCTTCACCCAGCCTGATGTCTCCAGCTGAATGGGCATTCTCCGCCCTGCCTCACAGGAGGGGGAGCCCATGTCCTGTGACTGTCTTCGCTGTCCTCACCACCTTGCCCAACATTTACGTTGGTCTAGGCTTCTTTTGTTTGTTTTTGTTCCAGGGGTTGAACCCAGAGGTGCTTAACCACTGAGCCACATCCCAGCCCTTTTTTTATATTTTATTTAGAGACAGGGTCTTCCTGAGTTGCTGCGGCTGGCTTTGAACCTGCAATCCTGCCTCAGCCTCCTGAACTGCTGGGATTACAGGTGTGCGTCACCTCACCCAGCTTGTCTAGGCCTTTGACTAAGACTTCATGGTTGAACTACAGGATTCTTTAAAAACATAAATACAGGCCTAGGGATGGGTTGTGTGGCTGCTGAGGCTCTGTGGGAGGTGTCTTTGTGAGGTGTTAGGTGTTTTAAATATGCTACTAAAATGTGTGTGTATAATGTGATGGTGTGCAAGACAGGTGTCTTACACATGTGGTATCATCCACACATAGTGACAGGTTACGTGTGGATACAGGCCCCAACACGAGATCTGTCTTGCCTTACTCTTACCTTGCCTTGAAGCTATGTGCAACTTTGTATTATAAATCATTCACGTTGTTTGAGCTTTATAACACTGCTCTCAGTTCCCCCTCTCCCATGGACATCCCAGGACAGGGGCTGCCTCTAACAGTGCCTGCTGCTCTCTTGCAGTGGTCTATCATCATGGCAGCAGCGCGACCGGAGGCCATTACACTACGGACGTCTTCCAGATTGGCCTGAATGGCTGGCTGCGCATCGACGACCAGACGGTCAAGGTGGTCACCCAGTACCAGGTGGTGAAACCAGCTGCTGAGCGCACAGCCTACCTCCTGTATTACCGCCGAGTGGACCTGCTGTGACCCTCTGTGCGCGTGTGTGTGCCTGATGCCCGCTTTTAGAACACCAGTCTCACTAACTTCCTGCCTCTCTTTAGTGGCTCTTTAGAGAGAAACTTTCTCCTTTTTGCGAAAATGGGCTCGAATGAAAAGGAGATGCCTTGGGGTTTGTGCGCAGTGTAGTTTTATGTTGACTTCTAACTTCCAAATCAAAATCATTTGGTTGAAACAGACTGTCGCTTGATTTAAGAATACACAAAAACCCATATTTCTGAAATAATGCTGATTCCTAAGAAAGGGAAACTTGCATTTGATTCCCAGTCTAATTGCTTAGTAGAATAAATTCTGCACCAGCAACCTTGTAAATTTGTGAAAAATGAATTTTATCTTTCCTTAAAAAATAAATTTTTTAATCCATTACACTTTCCTCCCCCACCCTTTAGTTTTTGATAAAAATGAGCCAGTTATTGGAGAAGAAAATAGTTCTTACTTCAGAAGAAAAATAAACATAAAAAATAAGTTGCTGGTTCCTAACAGGAAAAGTACATTTTAATAATTGTGCGATGAGAAACTGCTTACGTACACATTGCGATCAACATTTGGAGTTAAGATGCTAGTCTGCATAGATGGGTGATTGTAACCTTATTGCCATTAAAAGATTCCAAATTGCATTCATGCTTCTGTGTACCCGTGATGAAGAAGGGCAAACACAAGGCTGCGTCCCGAGTCTGCTCTGTCGGCTCTGCTGTCGCTCCTCTGTACCGCCGCGTCCCCACTTGTACACAGTTTAGTGACACCTAGGAGTATAAAGTTTCGCCCATCAATAAAAAATCACAAAGTTGGTTTAAAGCTGCCTGTGTTTCTTTGAATGCAAAGACCTTTTTCAGTGACGCGTTCGTGGGGCACAGCTGCACCTGCCGGCTACAGGAAACCCTGCCACCAGCCGAGCTGTGGATGTGGGCCACTGAGGTCCTAGAATCCCAGTTAGCTGGAAAAGGGAGGTCCTGGTACACGCGCCCCCCCCCCCCCCCCCACACACACACACATACACATTGGTACTGTATCCCAGCAGTTTCCAGGTACACCAAATGGTGGTTTAAATGGAGGCTGAGCAGCTCAGCAGCACCTCCCAGCACCACCCTCAGGTGCCTGCAAGAGAAGAGAGCACATGCCAGGGAGAGGCTGGTGGCAAGGGCTCCTGCCCCATGCCCTGTGAAGACAACTCTTAGAAATGTGCCAGATCCGCAGAGAAGTGGTTCTCGTGTGGCTGAGCCCTTCTCCATCTCTTCCTTTACTGCCTGGTGTTCCCATGGCTTGGTGCTGTTCTTTGAGGGAAAAGAGCTTACCCTGTAAAATTACAGTACTGACGTCACCCGCTTGGCCTGTTTACCCAGTCATAACCCCATTCTGATTTGCTTGGCTGAATTACAATCTAATTAGCTTCTTGTTAGAATAATGTACGATTCCTACGGAACACATGGAGTTTGGCAGCCAGTTAGCATTGCGGGGAGCAACCCACACCCACAAAGACCTAGCCAACGATGAAGCAGAGCCTGACTCCATGGCATTGAGTCAAGTTCTAGATGGGGCTACTTGAGCCGCTCACAGACTCCTCCTGTGCCTAGGGCCCTCTCTGTCCTAAGTCGGTCAAGAGAAGTGGCCTTGTTGCTGGGTGTTCCATGGGGGGTCTGGTGGAGTGCCTTTTCAGGCAGTGGAAGAAGAGGCCTGCTTGAAGTGGGTTGGGCGCCCAGACCTGTACCCAGTTCTGCAAATGCATCCTGTGTCCGCAGATAAGAAAATTTCCCCTGAAATATCTTTCTTGGCTTCCTGCCAATCTGAAAATTATCATGATAGTGTCTGCTTGTAAGCCCAAGATGGGTTGTGAAGCATGGGAAAGGGAGTCCCTTTGAGGATTGAGAGTCTCTTTCAAGATGCTATGGATTATGTCCATCGGGACATCCAGGTGTCTTAGTCCACTTGTAGCTTGGGTCCTAAGGTCACTGTCTCTTGTGACTGTCACCTGGTAGCCAGCAAAGGAGTCTCCTGTCACCTTCCTGTGTCTGTGTTAGCACTGCATGTCCGTGGCCTGGATTTGGGTTGCTTTAACAAGCGTCAAAGTGTAAAAAGCTGACAACAGCTCTGTTTCTCATGGAGCCTGAAGTTCAAGGTCGAACTTCTGCAGCTCAGTGTTCTTGCTATGTGCTCCTACGGCAGGGTAAGCTCTGGTCTCCTCTCACAAGGACCCTCGTCCCACCCTGGCCCCCACCTCCGTCTAATCCCAACACCCTCGGGCCCTGCCTCTGGGTACCATTTCAGGGCATCAGCTTCAGCACAGCATCCCTTTAAGTGCTTAAGGTCGCACTTAGGATGGAGATATAGTTACTTTTGGTTTTGTATTGTCCAAGCAAGGTCAGCACATCACCAGCTGCAGGCAGGAGAGCAAACCCCAGAGGAGCTGACTATACCAGGGAGAGGACAGCCTAGAATTAGGAATGACCAGCATTCAGTCCTGGCATTAACTGGCCATAGCTAGAGAGTTGGATGATTCCAGCAAATCCAAACATTTTCTGAAGTCTTGCACCGTCAGCCACCCTGGCGTTGGGCCTTCATTTACACTTAGAGGTTTGCCTGTTAACTTCAGTGTTAGCAGCTACAAAATTGGTGATTTTTCCTTCACTAACATGTGGCAGTTCTCTAGGTGGCTTGTAAGTCAAAAGTGAATGCTAAGATTGTAGCAAGTATGTCACGGGGTGACGTTCTCAGGGAGGAGCCTAATGAAGTCCCACCAGCCAACAAGCTGCCTAAGCCAAGTGGTGGCCATTCTCTGCCCTGTTGGTGTGATAGTTCGGCCACTGGGCGTCTCCTGGGGCATTCTGCAGTCATTTCTCAGCATAGTTGTGTTAGGTGTGCTGTGGGTGACACAAGCAAGAACTGCGTAGAAGGCATCATCACCTCCCTCAGTGACATACCTGGATGTCGCTGTCAGCAGCCCTGGTACTGGCCCACGGTGCTGCTAGGAAAGCTGAGTGCGGTCCATGAATTGCTTCTGAATCGACCAAGCTGAGCCAGTGGGGACGGGGCAGTCGGTGGGGAGCTGACCTCTGTTAGTCCATCAGGAAAGAGACAGGCAAGACGTGTTGGGGACCGCAAATCAAGTCAAGATGGCGCCTGGCAGTTTGCCAGGAGGAGTGGTTTGTGAAGCAAGGCCACCGAGCCATTTAGATGCTGGGGATTCCTATTTGGCTGATTGCTGTATCTAGATGGTGCTAATTGAGTCAAGCTGTGTGTAATCAGTTAGGTATACATACCTCTGCTGTCCCGCAATAAAGCAGCTCCTGCTACCTTGAGTTCCCGCTCAGTTCCCGCTGAGTTTCCCCGCAATAATGCAGTTCCCACTTCAACCTTCAAATTGCTTGTCACCTCCCGGTTATTTTGCCCAGCCGGACTGTGGCATATGGTGGCCCGTACGGGGAGCTCCAGGATGTTTGGGAGTAAGTGACAAGGTAAGGCTGCTCGCCCCTGAGGATAGGGCGAGAGGATGGCTGACCATTTCAAGAAACAGAGTGTTCTTGTTTCGTTTTGTTTCGTTTCATTTTTAAGCTGCCTGTCCCTAGAAATAAATAGGACAGGAGAAAAGCTGATCGCCCCCGAGGAACAGATAGGGCGAGAGAAGGGATGCACATTTCAAGAAAATAGAAAAATTGATACAGTGTGTTTTTGTTTCGGTTTTGTTTTGTGTTATCTTAGTGGATTGCGTTATCTTTGTTATGGAAAAATGGGATCAGAAGTTAGTAAAAATCAAACCGAAAGGGTGTTAAGTAAATTGCTAGAGGAAGGAGGCACCTTAGTAAAACCAAGAATAATTAGGGCATACGTTGATACGATACAAAAATGTAGACCATGGTTCTTTAAGGAGGAGTTGTTAATATCACAATGGGACCATCATGGTGAATATTTTAAAAAGATAGAAAAGAAAAACCCAGGAACTCTGTCAGTTGGCACATTAACATTATGGACGTTGATACGATCTCGTTTGCTTAGTCCAAAGCCTTCAGTTCAGACTATGGTAGAGGAAGGAGAAGACATCTTAGATCAAGTAAAAGAGAAAGTCTCTCGAGCTAGTCAGACAGGGGAAGAAAGTTTAAAGGAGGAAGGGCTATCAGGGGAGGAGTTACAACAGGAGGCTGCTACTAACACCTTTCTATCACCAGAGGGTGTAGGTATTCAACCAACAGCTCCACCTATGGAGACAACATATGCTGGGTGGCCCCCAACCCCCATAGTTGATAGATGGGATCCTAAGACAGGACCTCGAAGATTAGCATGCCCTGTACTTGAGGATGAGGGAGGGCAGCGATATCACCAGGTTTTGGATTTTAAAACTGTAAAGCAATTGAAAGAAGCTGTAGCAGCCTATGGTCCTCAAGCCCCTTTTACCGTAAGCATGGTTGAGTCCATTGCAAATTATAACTTGACACCAGCAGATTGGGCTAGCCTGTGCAAGGCTGTGCTAAATGGAGGACAATATCTGTTATGGAAAGTTGCTAATCAGGAATTGTGTATGGAGACTGCCAAGCAAAATGCAGCAGCCGGGTATCCACAGAGAAATCTAGATATGTTGCTAGGAGAAGGACCTTATGAGGATCAGCAGCAACAAATTAGATATGATTCTGCCATATACTTACAAATCGCTTCAGCCGCGGTTAAGGCATGGAAGATTTTACAAGGACAAGGAGATTTACAAGGTCAATTATCTAAGGTAATACAAGGAGCTAATGAACCTTATGCTGAGTTTGTGGATAGGATTATACAAACAGCAAGCAGAGTCTTTGGGGATATAGAACAAGCGATGCCATTAATAAAGCAACTAGCCCTCGAACAAGCCAATAGATGGTGTAGGGAGGCTATTAGACCTTGGAAATATAAAGATTTAAATGCATACATTAAACTGTGTAGAGATATTGGTGAACCAGTGATGCAGGGGCAAGTCTTGGCAGCTGCAGTAACCCGGGGAGTACAACAGGCTTTAGGTGCCAGGCCAAAAACATGTTATAATTGTGGTCAAGCAGGACATTTTAGAAGGAATTGCCCCATAGGAGGAGGGTTTAAAACAAGTTACAAAACTGGGTATGATCAAAAAAGAAAAATACCAGGTGTTTGCCCACGATGTTGTAGAGGAAAACATTGGGCTTGTGAATGCCGTTCTCAGAGTACTGTAGAGGGTACTCCGTTGCCAAAAAACGGACGAGGGGCCCACAACCACAAATATATGGGGCATTGAAGGAACCCAGCAACACCATCAGGGTAGTGCCCAGGACACATTATCCGTTAACTCCCTTATCAGATAAACCAGAGGAAGCGCAGGATTGGACATCTGCGCCTCCACCAGAGCAGTACTAACTCCAGAGATGGGAGTTCAGATCATTCCCACAGGGGTAAAAGGACCTCTTCCCCAAGGAACAATAGGCTTATTATTAGGACGCAGTTCTTCTACTCTAAAAGGACTTATGATAAGTCCTGGGGTAATTGATCCCGATTATGAGTGTGAGATAAAAATTATAGCTAGTTCTCCAAGGGGTATCTCAATAATTTCACCAGGAGATAGGATTGCACAGTTATTAATACTCCCTAGCTCACATGACAAATTTGCTAGTCATAATGTAGAAAGAGGTTCCAAAGGATTTGGCTCCACAGGTATAGATTGGGCTATGCTTTTTAAAATTTAGATTCTTGCCCTATGTTAAACTTAACTATTCAAGGAAAAAATTTCAATTGACTACTAGACACAGGTACCGATCTTAGCATCATCTCTCGTCAAGAATGGCCAAAAGATCGGCCTTTACAACAAG